GAGGGGCGGAGGGAGGGAGGGGCAGTCGGTGCATAGACTACCGGCGGAATCGGTTGGGGAGGGAGCAGGGTCTGTAGGCCGTAGTCTTAGAGGAGGGCGGAGGGAGGAGGGGCAGGCGTCATGAGCCTAGCCGGGCGGATGTTGGGAGGGCAGGGTTCTTAGCCTAGTCGTAGCAGGAGGGCGGAGGTTGAGGGAGGGGCAGGGTCATAGGACTAGCCGGTGCGATAGTGGGGAGGGCAGGTTGTTTCGTTAGCCGTAGAGGAGTTAGCGGGGAGATGGGAAGGCAGGATCATGCCTAGCCTAGGGGAGGGGGGGGGAGGGAGGGGAGGATCTAGCCTTGCTAAGGGAGGTCGGAATGAGAGGGAGGGCAGGGGTATAGCCTAGCTATGGGGAGGGCGGAGGGAGCTTTAGAGAGCAGATATAGCCTAGCCCTTAGGGGAGGGCGGAGGGAAGGGGGGGCAGGATATAGCCTAGCCTAGGAGGAGGGGCGGAGAGGGGAGGGAGGTCATTAGCTAGCGGGATGGACGGTCTTTAGGCCTAGTCTAGGGGAAGCGGAGGGGAGGCGCGATGGTCATAGCCTACCGGTGGCGTGATGGGTGGGGAGGGGCAGTAGGTCGGTTTTTCCTAGCTTAGGGGATGGGAGGGAGGGAGGCGCAGGGTCACTTAGCCTAAGCGGCGCGGAATGGTGGGAGGGGCAGGGTCTTTGCCTAGGTGCTGCATGAGGCGGAGGGGATGGAGCGGAGGGTCAATAGACCATAGCCGGGCGGATAGTGGGGGGGCAGGGTCGTTTCCTAGCGCTAGGGAGGACGGATGCGTGGGGTAGGGGCAGGGTTGCAGTAGTCCTTAGCGAGGGGAGGAGCGGGAGGAGGAGGGGCAGGGTATGTAGCCTAGCCGAGGGAAGAGCGGGAGGGGGCCAGGGAGGGGCCAGAATCAAGGCCTAGACGAGGGGAGGCGGGGGGAGGGGGGTGGAGGGAGGAGGGGCGGGGTAGTAGCTAGTCGAGGGTGGAGTTGAGAGTAGGGGAGGAGAGGAGAGGAGGGAGGGGCAGGGGCAGGGTCATAGCTTAGCCGAGGGGCGGGGAGGAGGGAGGGAGGGGCGGAGGGAGGGGAGGGGCAGATGCAAGAGCAGCAGCCTCCTAGAATCTGGAGACAAATAAAATGATAAACCAATAAAAGTTATTGATCCTGAAGGAAGTAAACCCCAGAATGTCGCTGCGTCATAAGGAATTGTGGAGTCGCCATTTATCAGGGCAAATCTTTTACATATCTGACCTCACGAAAACTATTTTGCCTGTGGGTTTATGTTTTCTAATCACTAGTTGGGTGGACATTTCTCCGCCTCTCCCCTCCGCAGGAATGCGATCATTATTATTAGCGCTATGGTCCAGAAATATATTTGTGTCATCCACTGATCTTGATAGAAAGCCGGCATGAGCGCAAGTTTCAAATCCAAGAAAAACGCGAGTGACAAAAAACTTACCGGAGACAGTGACATTGAAAATTATCGTCGAGTAAACGAATGGTAAAGGAATGTGTGTGCTCGTCTGTGTGTGTGTTTGTCTGTTTGTCTATCTGTCTGTCTGTCTATTTGTCTGTGTGCGCGTGCGTGCGTGCATGTGCGTATGCGTGTGCGGATGTGCACGCATCCACGAGCGTTCGGGCGAACGAACGTGATTGCGTGAGTTTTTACGCATGTGCGTGTGCGCGTGCCCGTGTACGCAAGCTTGTACATGCGTCTACGTGTGCGTGTGCGGGCTTGCGTACGTGTAAATACACGCATTTTCCACATGTGCTCCCTATTTTATTCCCAATTTTTAGCGCATGCGCAATTTTCGCGGCAATTTTCTTCGCGACATAATTTTTACCGTGCGTTTTTCTAGAGTGAATCAACATCCTGGACACACAATCCAAAACACCCAAATTATCCAAACCCCATCATTATCAAGCATTCATCCGTCTAAAGAGATTCTAATCTTGGATAAAGCTATAACACTCCCGAAGTAGCTCCTATAGGTTTCAATCTACTCACGCATAGCAAGTAATCCCACGCTTCAAGTGCGGATTCTAGGGAGCGGGGCTAGGCGTAGCGAGAATACTAGAGTTTACTGTCAGTCTGTGCTTGTGGTTGTATACTTGTATGCGTATATGTGCGTGCGTGCGTGGGTGCGTGCGCGTGTGTGCGTATCTCTCTCTGTGTGTGTGTGTGTGTGTGTGTGTGTGTGTGTGTGTCGTGTGTGTGTGTGTGTGTGTGTGTGTGTGTGTGTGTGTGTGTGTGTGTGTGTGTGTGTGTGTGTGTGTGTGTGTGTGTGTGT